TGGTTTGTCTGTTGTAAAGAGGGAAGTTCATTTCTGGTTGTGTTCACAACATTCGAAACACCATTGGAAAACTGCCGGCTTGGATAATTGAAGACGTCATCAAACTGGGACATTGTGATAAAAATTAGCAATTAAGACGACGACTTCTTGAGAAGGCACGGTGGAGTAATGGATTGCGGCCCGGATTGAGAAATCGGAGAATTCCAATTGGATCCTTTACATTCATTTACGTGCTAGTACCCTTGGGAAAGGTATGAATCCTCTTCCAGCTATGGTGGAGAAGAAGAGGACTCAATAGGATGGCCAATGGATAAACAGCAGGGCAGACTGGGTTCTGTAGCCTTGGGTGGCAACCGGTCTAGGAGAAGGAAAACTCTGAATTCAAAACCGGCCTAGAGAGGGTTTTGGGCTCCGTCAGGCTATCTTGCCCAAGACACAAAAAAAAAATCTTGCTCGGAATATATATATATATATATATATATATATATATATATATATATATATATATATATATGATAAAAAATATAATTTTAAGATATGCTATATTTATGAGTTAAAGTGATAGAAGGTATGTGAATATAAAAGGGGCCACAGAATTCAACTCACACTGGTGAAAGTCTGTTTCGTACTTAAACGCAACCGTCAAGCCGTACGATTGTGTTTAAGCATGAAACAGACTGTCGCCGCTGAGTGTTGACTTTGATGGCCCCTTTTATATAATCACACATTCGGATAAATATTTTGCTTGTTAATATATCATTTTTTTCTTGAATTTAACTTAAAATTTCGAGTTGATATGCCGGCTTCATTTCTAGTTGTGTTCACAGCATTCGAAACGCCATTGGAAAACTGCCGGCTTAAATAATTGAAGACGTCATCGAACTGGGAAATTGTGATAAAAATTAGCAATTAAGACGACAACTTGGAGTAATAAACTGCGGTTCGGATTGAGGAAAGTTTCCCTTGTGAAAGATATGAATCTCCCTCCTCCCACCAGTTATGTGTAAGTAGAAGGACAAACTGGATACTAGGATACTAAGATACATGAGGTTTCAATGGAAATACTTTGAAAGGGATTAAGCCACCATTGCCCTAGGTAAGCTACTATTTGCGTTAATATTTAAAAGACCTGATCATTTCCTGATATACACTGTTTTATAGGGAATGGGACGTTTCGGCGTGACCGATTCAACATAGGAATCTTTCGGCATAGAGACGATTAGGCATCAGTTTACTACTTCGTCGATATAGCCAAATTTGTTTGAATCGTCGGAATGTTCAGAAAGGATGTGATGCATTTCTCGAAAAGTTCATTGCTGGATATCCCCACACCAAATAAAAAAAAATAAAAAAAAAATAAAAAAACAGAAGAGATCCTGACGAACGAATAAAAAAAAAAAAAGGCAGAATGAAAGTTGAATCATTAGATCCAATTGTGTTCCTGAGGGGTTTTTGCTCATAATTACGAAATGAAGAAATAATTTCTAAGATTAAATAGATTTACTAAGATTTTTTAACTTTTTTTTTTGAAATACAATATTTGTAATTCAAGTTTTTAATTTACATTATACAATTATTGTTTTAATAGGATCCTTTAAAAAAAGTCATATTGAAAGTTGGATGTTTTTAATGCTTTTTTTTTTTTTTTGAGGAGGGGGTCCTCTGGTCAAAGACAGTGACGTCGAAACAGTGACGCCTAAACGGCTGTGTCGAATAATCCAATTATTTTTCTGACGCCGAATCAGCCACACCAAATGGGCTACGCCAAAACTTACTAAATCCTGTTTTATAACCCCTTAACAAAGGATTCTCCATCTATAGACAAGTTGAAAGACATCAGCTCTGGTTTGATCTAGAGAGAGAAAATCTACGCCAAATCTACTTACCCAGGACACGCTACGCATAAATGAATACTTCGCTGGATATTTACCCCACGGTTCAGCAACAGCTCAGTTCTTATAACCGAACAGTCAGGCTACTGGGATATATAATTTTGATTCCAGTGGTGAAAGCATCGGTAAAACCAACCACAGAAAACTGGTACACAGTTTGTCAAAAAGACTCCAAACGACGCCTCAAGTTTAGTGCCTATATTATACTTTATTCTTCAAATTTCTGTGACACGCGTTTCCGGTCTCGTAATCTTCTTCAGGAAAAATAAGAATAAGGAATAAATTTTTAAAAGGAATAAGTTTTTCTTATGTTCTTTTAATGTCTCATTGTTCGTTTTCTGTATCTGTTAGTAGGACTTGAACTCCTTTCTTTTTATATATATATATATATATATATATATATATATATATATATATTAGAGAGAGAGAGACAGAAAGAGAGTGATGATTGGGCAACGCTATCTTAAAACTAATATTACATTTAATTATGAAACAGACTGTCGCCACTCGATGTTGACCTCAGTGTCCACATTTCTTATATTTACAAATTATCCCGGATACTGGGTACTCTTACCCATAAATATAGCGTACCTTAAAACTATATATATATATATATATAACAAACCCAGAAATATCCCAGGCACACTACTTTAATATGACTAAATGTTTCACGCAATGAAGCGATCCTCAGACGTTTCAAAAAACGAATATGGAAACTAAACCTCAAACTACTTGCCTAACACACGGGGTGAAATTATGGGTGGAAGCGGATAAAAAAGAAAATAAGTAAAGAAAAAGTTTAAAAAACATCAAGGCTGCAATAGCCTGGGTGATATAAATCGAAAAACAGTTAGAAAGTCAGAATCAAAGTAAAAGGGATGAAACCGGGTGGGAAATGGCAGAGCAATTACTTGTCGGAATTTTTTTCTTTTTTACTTTCACTATTAGTTCAGAATCTTTTATTGAGCACTATCATCATTTCCTAATTCCAATATCGCTATTTTCACCTCAGTATTTTGTCAACATCTGCTAGAACTGCATGATGTTTATATTTATTTATTATTTTTTCTTCTGGCAGTTTCCTCAATTCCTCTTTGATCTTCCTATAATGATTAGACAACCTAATCAAATTACTATACATTTTATGATTGTATAAGTTTTTCTTTTATTCGTTTTCTCTCACTCCCAGAGATATATTTTTCATGATTATGTCCAGCCAGTTTTACCGTAGCCTGAAAAACAATATTGCTTTTTAGACATTCTCCTTTCATGGGAAAAATGTCTTGTTACATTTTTTTTAAATTAACGCTTCAGAATTTAAAAGTTACACATAAATCCTTATTAATTATTTTCTAAATGTCCTTACATCAACTGTAACCAACTTTATTTCTTTAAAATATTTTAGTAAGTGTAGCTGAGCTCTTAAAGGATTTATCTATAAATCTCGAAAATATTTTCGGAGTTTCTTTTTCTTCAAATTTTACCGTGCGTTAGGCATTGACGTTTGATTTTCATGTTCATTTTTTGAACCGTCTGAGGATAACTTCATTGCGTGAAACTTAGTCAATGTAAAATATCTTTTGGATAATTCGGGATTGTATTCCTACTTTGACCTAAGAGTGTTTTACTTATGGGATTTCCTGTCTAGGTTATGATGTACTTTGTGTTCTTTAGAGTTAATATACGTTTCTTGTATACAATTAGGATCAAGGGCCTAACCCACTTCTCAAAACTAACCAAACATCAAACTGTTTTTTGTTTTTTTTTTATTTTTAAATGTACCTTTTATCACATAAAATTTGGTGAGGTACGAGCAATTCCGAAAATGCGGCCCAGAGAAAAACAGTTTAGGAACCAATGAGCTAAAGTCATACCAGTTTCCTGCGTCTACTACTAAAGCAATATCTGAATTTTTTGTCGAGCCATGTGAGTAAAACCATTAATCACAGCGAATTTGTCTTTTAAAAAAAAAAGCAATCATATTTTTATGTTTTTGCATTCTTCGACCGGAAACACTTCTGACCAAATGTATATCCGTTTTTATTAGCAGAAAAGTTTACGCTTTTGCTATTGTTGGTGGTGATGATGATGATGATGGTGTAGTCGGTAGGAAGCGATAAATTGTTCAAACCGTCCTCAAGTTGGTGAAACCCGGTGACTGGATCTCAAAAGTGAGACGAAGCAATTGATAGTGTTCTATCAAGAATATCAGAATTACTCCAAGATTTGCGTTTTACCTCAATAACCACGTGTTGCTTTTTTTTTTCTTTTTTTCTTACAATTTTATGTGACAAACAAGTTCGACAGTTCGCCGAGTAGGAATGATTAACAAGCAAGTGACGCAATCTAGTCTATACGAAGTTTAATACTCATCGAGTATTGCCATTGTGTTGTCAGAGTTGAGAAATATGAATTAACCAAAATATCATTATAATGCCGCTTCTTCTTTGGCAGGTTTCTTATGTCCTGCCAAGTAATAAAGGAAAGAAAAAGGAAAAGAAAGAGAAAGCAAAAGAGAAAAAGAAAGAAAAAAGAAAGAAAAAAAAGAAAGAAAAAAAGTAAAAGTAAGAGGAGGAGGCGGAAGAGAAGAATAACGATGGAGGTGAAGAAGACGAAAGAAGGAAAAAGGAGATGGAAGAAAAAAGGAGAAGGAGAATAAACAGGAAGGAGGAGAAAGAAAGAGAAAAAGAACAAAGACAAGCAGTAAGGAGGAGAGTCAAAGAGGAAATAGCAGAATAACACCAATCAAAAGAAGTAAGGAAATGAGGGGAAGGGGTGAATGAAGGAAGGCGAGAGTGAGGGGAAGGAAAGAAGGAAGGATTGGAGGGTGAAGGAATGAGGGAGGGGAAGGAAGGAAGGTGGTGGAGGGAGGGAATGGGAAAAAAAAGGAAGGAAGAAAGGAAGGAGGTAGGGAAAGAACTAATAATTTTCTATTCTGTTTGGCTCTATGCCCACGAGTGTGTAATGTTTTCGGACGAAAATAAGCATATTTTCATTTTAATTTACCAATACATTTAAAAAAAAAAAAAAAAAAAAAAATCTCATCATTATGGAGGATTTAAACGTAAAAGTCGGAAGAGCACAAGATAGTAAAATAATTGCGAAATATTAGCCTTGGATCACATTAATGAATGCAGAGGAAAATGGATTCATTGGTGCAAAACGAATATGGCCTTGGATCACATTAATGAATGCAGAGGAAAATGGATTCATTGGTGTACAACGAATATGGCCTTGGATCATATTAATGAATACAGAGGAAAATGGATTCATTGGTGCACAACGAATATGGCCTTGGATCACATTAATGAATGCAGAGGAAAACGGATTCATTGGTGCACAACGAATATGGCCTTGGATCACATTAATGAATGCAGAGGAAAATGGATTCATTGGTGTACAACGAATATGGCCTTGGATCATATTAATGAATACAGAGGAAAATGGATTCATTGGTGTACAACGAATATGGCCTTGGATCATATTAATGAATACAGAGGAAAATGGATTCATTGGTGCACAACGAATATGGCCTTGGATCACATTAATGAATGCAGAGGAAAACAGATTCATTGGTGCACAACGAATATGGCCTTGGATCACATTAATGAATACAGAGAAAAATGGATTCATTGGTGTACAACTAATAGCCACGTGATAAATAACTTAATTTGAAGAACACCCATGACATTTAAAGATTTGCTGAAGCTCAAAGGGAGACAGTAAAAACAGATACACTACTTGACCATCAACAAAGGATTTAGAAATACAGTTTTGTAACAAGACGCTGAATGTTGGAATTATCTCATTCGCATGCAAACTAAAAGTAGAAGTCCAAAAATTAAAGAAACCCAAAGAAATTCCCATACGACAAACTCTGCGACGATTCCATTAGCTAACACGCAAATAGAGCCGCAGTTACGAACAAAAATGAAACTTTTGGTACCAATCAGAGACTCAAAGGGGGGGAACATCTTAAGAGAAAAGATTAACAACAACAGCAAAATATATAATCTCGAAGAAAAAGACAAGAAAAATCGAAATGGATTGGAATCGAGATTCTTGATCTAATGAAAAGGTACAGTAACTGACTCCAGCAGACATGGTACGGAGAAGGAAAGACTATCTGAAAATGGAATAAATAATTTATGGTCGAGGAGGAGGATAGAATGATGGGACACTGTAGTAATATAGAAAGTCAAAAGATCCATAACAGCAAATGGAGGGGCCAGATAAGCCTTAATTCTTAAAAGCCTATATGGGTCACGCATATCATGTTGTTGGTGAACGAATTAAAACTGTGAATGGGCAACGGTGTGAAATACACCCCACAAACCAGGCAAAAATAATCCTCACGCATTTAAGAGAGAGAATAGGGTAGAGGCAACATTAGAACGTGAATCCCTAATGTTTTCACCGGGAAACTGGAGATAGACAAGACTGACGCATTGTAAGCGGTAAATTTGGTTGACGTCATCGATATCTATCCTTTGACACCGTTTTTAAAAGTTATTCTTAGTTTATAATAAAACTTTTTTTTGAAATACATTTAAAACTCATTGACATTTTGTACGCGTAAGAAGAAATAAAACGAATAATGAAAATAAGTGTGAAGAGGCATCTCTGTTTAGGAAAAGATGCTTTGTCGGGATCAAAAAATCTCTTCACGGTACTTCTGCTTTGGATCAGTGTAACACGCATGCGCTATATATCCATCAACTACCTGTCTGTTCATTTTCATATAACAAAATTAGGTTAAAGTAAGAGAAAGGAGAAGGGTGGTAGATGGTGCGTAAGAGAAAAGATAAAAAAAAAAAAAAAAAAAAAAGCTAAAAGGAAAATAAAGAAAAGAAGAGCGAGTGAAAGAGAAAGGAAAAAAGGAAAAAGAAAGCGAGGTATGGAGTAAGGAAGAGAGAGAAAAACGGAAATAAAAGCGAGTCAAATGAAAAAGAGAAAGCGACTTCATTCAGTAACACTCTACGTTGGGTTACTCTCTAGCCTTGTACAAAATGCAGAATTGTTATTGCTTTTTTTAATCTCTTAGAGTGAATATTTAATATTTTATCATTTGAAGTATGACACCCTATGTAGAAATGTAAGTTGCGACAACAGTATTATAGAAAGACTTGTTTTCTTTTGTATAGAAGCAAATTTGGAAATATGTTGTTTTGTATATCCCACCCCCACACAATATTAGTCACTTCATATCACGAGTCTTATAATCGACCAGAATCGTATGGTCACCACACGTATTGCAGCTATGGTAGCAGCGATGTGACTAAGGCAAAATAGTCTGATGGCGCCCATCCGTCTTTAGTCTGGTTTTGAATTCAGAGTTTTCCTTCTATTAGACTGGTCGTCATCCCAAGGCAAAAGAGCCCAGTCTAACTAGGTATTAAAGCCATAACTCGTGGGGAGTAAAGACGGATATATATTTCCAAGGGTATTTATGCGAAAGTGAACGTAACTTGTTCGACTGCAATTCGAAATCGGTTCGCCTCTTTTCTCCTTCAGAGTCGCTACCCATGTCACTACTTGCACGATATTAGACAGACCATCAAATCTCAATTTCAAATATCTCATCTTTCATCAAAGTAACGAACACTGCCAACATCTAAACTTGACCGCTTCCGCGTGGATAATCGTTGGCGGGCTTGACTGGTAGACTATTACTATAAAATTCAGGAGTTTGATTCTCCCTCGCTTGTGATCCCGTGCCAGAACTAAGCAAAATTCAGTGAGTAACTGTTCCAAGTCGAAGTGTAATTAAGAAGTGAGATTTCGATCCTCACTGTGTGCCCTATAATCTTGACCTAGTGAAAAAAAAACCCTAAGTTACGCCCACTAAAATATCTAATATCTTTTTAGAGTGGAACGTCTGAAAAAATTATTTTGCTGAATCAAGCCCACAACAATAATGTCAACAAGTTTCATATCCGAGGATGTGTAATATTTAACACGGCAAAATGTGTTATAATTTCGGTTCAGGTTCTGTGTAGAAACAGACAGCTGTTGTCTGTGAGGTCTCTATTTTATGAAATGTGTTCACTGGCGAGGTCACCATGGGAACCACTTGTTTGCCTTTCAGTAAAAAATTATTTTGATGTGGGTCAAAGGCAATTTTTGAAAAAGGAAACATGAACTTATTCCATTCTTTATATTAACCACAAATGAGTCAAGAAACTAACTTTAGTCATAGCATTTTTTTAAAAGATTACAACTTAGCTGACCATATCAGGTTTCTCTTAATAAGGCATGATTAAATTTCATTGCTAACATATGTATATAAATAGAACAAGACTGAGCTAATTCATTGCTGCTCCAACAATTTTAATCAACTAAAGGCTATGATCGTGGTGTTTTAGTAGGTTAACTCTGGTAATACTCGCACAGCTTCCTTCTTATTACATGAGGCGACGTGAAAATGTCAGATAAGTGGGAACGGAGTTCTGACAAGCAGAAAGCATCATCCAACGATCGATGGAGCGCAGCTGTACTCTTCAAGGATCGATAGAATAGTGGAAACTATGAATATTTTATTAATCAGTTTGTACAGCATGAATTAGAGCCTGGATTAAACTTAAGCTTTTTACCTTCTTGAATACTTTCTCGTGCTGTGATGTTTAGCAAGCTGAACTCAAATCAATTACTAATGAGTCGTGAGTTCGATCCACCCGAATTGCCATATACTTAAGGTCAAATAATTTTTTAAACAGACTAAGGATATATTCGTTTCTTATTTCTCGTATTATTTAAATGCTGCGAGAATTCATTCAAGTCCATTGTATTCAATGGATATTTTTCTTCAACGGCAGATATCCTTTAACTTTTAAGCACTCGGGCAGGTTTGGAAAATTTCACGTAAGTCATTCTATATTGATAAGTAATGAATTTTATAATTATCGATAAAAATGAAATAAAATCAAACTTCATGCTCACCCCGTATCAAAGAAACGCTTACAATTTGTTTCATTGGTAGATCAATGAGTAGTAAAAAGGTAAAGGAATTAGAAATTATCATTTTCCTACAAATAAGATCATGGTTTTACGATCAAAACAATCTTTCATTGGCTTAAATCAACATATATCTGTCTATATTTGCGAAGAAGTGGAGTTATTTTTTATGTAAAAACCGCATTTGTACGATATGAACCCGAAGTATTTTTTTTAACCACTGTTACTATTATTGAATTGATCAAACTCACAAAATCGATTCAAACAATTCAATAGCCTGTGTAAATGCGCTATAAATAAAATGAGGTCTTTAACAATTTATGACTTGTTGGTTGGTAGCAACGCTTATGTGTTTAAACAATTAACTATAATAATAAACATAAGTCTTTAATATATTAGATTTTTTAATTAATGGTTCACCCAATACAAGGCCCAAGAGCCACTCAAGCTAGATGATTATTAAATTTAGCTGTTGTGTGTACGTAACAGATGGTAAGAAATGCAGATTATGAGTATATCTTGGAGAGATAACGGTTTAATATAACCTCTTTGTATCTAAGATTTTAGCAGTCAGAAAAGCATCTGAGAGGGAGTCTGTACCACAAAGTAGCGGCCTTTGGGAAAAAGCTGTCTTTCTTATTAATAGAATACAAAGGGAAATGACAGTATTCGTTCAAGTGGACACAGGTCGTATCTGTGAAGGTCTGAATTGGTGGAACTAATGAAATTAGCTAGTCAGAATATTTGCCGTAAAAGTAACGAGAGACGCTTGCAACGTTTCGTCTGTCGTAAAATGGTTTTTAAGTAAAAAAGAATTCATCACACACAAGGTTGCGTACACGTTTCTGAACTCTATCAAGGCTGAAAATATAGCAGCGATGCTGAAGTATTCATCCTATTGGTACTGTTTTTGTCTTTGGCATTAAATTTCTTTTTAAATTTTTATTGCTCTTAAAAGCATTCTCCTCGACTAACATTCTTCCAATATAAGAGTTATTCCGATAATTTCTTTCCCCAGACCGTTCTGGGTATGACGATAAACTACACCCGGCAACCCATCCTGGGTTATAACGATAAACTACATCCGCGTCCTTGCTAAGACGATAAACTATATCCAACAACAAGGTCTCTAAACAGGAGGCTCTGAGGAGCGTGAAACCACCTCTTAATTGCTGGTGTTCCGAGATCCATCCTGACTCGTAGGGGTAGCACCTGTTAGGGTCCCATCTATGAGCAAATAGTTAAACCCCAAACTGGGGTCGAAACACTATGAAAGTGTAAAAATAGGTTTTAATATAGCAATACGTTTTCGCAAAAAAAATTACCAGATAAAAATCAATTTTTGAAGAAAAAATTATTATCAGCAATACATTTTTGAAAAAAAATATTACCAGCAAAAAAAAAATTTTGAATAACCCATTGAGGTTGATATGCCGTAAAGCAAACCAAACCAAACCAAACCAATCTTTCCCCAGAAGCAGAACGGCATTTTTGCCATCGCCATATTGTTTCCAGACAGTCACTTCATATTTTCGAATTTAACGGCTGCTAGCGAAAATCTAAACAGCACATAAAGCAATTGTGCTGTTTTTTTTTTTTTTTTATGTCAGACCAATGGA